TCTGTCGCGCTGCAAGCGAAAGTTAAATGTGAGTAAAAGCAGAAATGTTTAGCATAAGTATGAAGACTAATCCTTTTTCTTTTCCCTCTGCTTCATACAGGAACTTGACGAATCTATCGATTTAGCCACGCAGGCCATTGCGCAGAAACCCACCAGCTATGAGGGCTACTACGCGCGCTGCAAATCACGCATGGAGTGTGGTGATTTTCATGAAGCGCTCATCGATGCCAACGAAGCCATGCAGAAGGCCATGCAAAGTGGCGTGCCAGCCGAGGTGGTCGAGGTGCTAAAACGTATACAGGCTGAGCTGTTGGCGCGCTCCAGCAGTGAATCGTTCAATGGCAGCGGAGGTGGTGTGGGAGTTAGTGGAGCAGGCGCGCGCTCTAGTGCTAATGCCTACGAGGAGTATGCGCTCAGTTGCGCGGATTTAGGCGCCGTCGGCTTGCCAACACAGAACGAGAGTTCCGATCTGTAGCGCGTACTTTAAGGGACATATATGTAGAGCGTTTATTGTTTACTTACAGACTTGAGTGAATTTTTAAAAAATTAGTTTTATTATTACTAGTTTAGTATTATATCCTTTAAATTTGAAATTTTCGTTTGTTTGTTTTTTTGTTTTGTTTTTCGTGCCTTAGTTTATTTTGCACTGTATTTCTTTAAAATGGAGCTAAAGATTTGGCGGAGCCAGCATTTCTTAATACGAAAATAATTTTAAAAATTAAATTAATTAACTTTTTAGTTACTGTAGCTGTTTGCATATACATATATAAATATTAAATCTACATTTTAAATGTCTTGTATTTATTTACGTTTGTGCTTTGCTTGCATTTATTTTTTATGTGTTTTTTTATTTCTACCAAGTTAAACTACTTTATGGGGTAAATAGTAAAAAAAAAAAACTGGCTTATCTTTCCTTGAACAATTTTCATTATTTAAAACATATAAGTATTCGTGCTACTTTATATTCTTCGTTATGTTATTCTCTTTCCCCAACTCCCTCAAAAATTCCCATAAAATACTTAAGTACAATATGTATGTACTATATTAAAATACTTTCTTATGAAACAAATTCAAAAATTGCTTAGAATTAAAAAAAAATATATTTGCATCTGCATGTAAAACTCATTTAGCTACGTATACATATTTCATTTTAAAAATATTTTAAAATTACATTTCATACTTAAAAAATTGTAAAATGGAACAAATTAATAGAAAAAAACTAAAAATAAAATGTGTACCTATTTTTATTTTAAAAGGGTCAAACATGTTAATTCAAAGGCATAAAATATGAACAAAACGTCGAGATTTTTCATACCGAAACTTTCACTTTGAAAATTTCTTTAAGAGGCCGGCCTAAATTTCTCGCTTGCCTGACGTATGAGTTATCTATCAATTTCAACATTCACTTTGGTTGAATGGGAATTTTCAAGTCCAAGGCTCGCCAGGGACGAAATTTTTAGCTAACCTTAAATCGTCTCAAAGTAAGCTTGCAAACTAGGAGGGGTTAAATCGTATTCTACTGGAATCTGCAACGAAATTTCTAAAACCACAATTTTTTTAATTAAAAAAAAGATAAAATTTTGGTGAAAATTTGTTGATTTTATGTGGTTTTTGTTAGATAAAGAGCTGTCTTCATATACTTTATGTACACAAGGTTAGCGGGAAAGTCGTCCTAGATATTCTTAAGGAAATTATTATTTAGGTAATTTCTGAATATTTTGGTTTTATGAAATGATGTCCAAAACTTAAACGCTTTGAGATATTCGGTTTTAAGTACTTAAAAATTTTCTTTTGGGATGAAGGTACGTCCACTTTTTGTTAAATGTAAGGTCAAGCGTTCGATTTGTTTCTGTGTTTTAGTTAAAGGGTATGTCATTTAGATAATAAAAATCATCAACAAAACCAGAACCAAGCCCTGGCAGTTAAAAATTGCTGCTTGATAAAGTTTTGAATTTACGATTTTTCACTAAAGTTTAGTCGATGGTCAAAGCAATATTCAAAAAAAAAAGTATATAAAAACTTTTTCCTAAAAGCTTTTTGAAAAAGCTTCTCATAAAATCCAGTTGGCCTTCGTAGGCGGTGTAAAACTTCTCGAAGGCAAAGCTCGGCCAAACACTTAGCAAGCAAAAGAAAAGTAGTCAAAACTTGCTGAATTTTTCTGCCTATGCAGAAGAGGTCTTCGTCATAGTAAGTGTGAAATGTCTGTGCACACTCGACTCACTTATGAGCCAAGCACTGTGTGAGATATGTACGTCGTTCAGCAAACAAAGTACATAGTGTGGCTCTGAAGCTGAAGCAAAAAACCAAGTACCTTGCAACAGAACACTTTGTAGCTAACCTTCTTGCAATAAAAAATTACTCCAAGCTTTTAATTTATAAAAGCATACACAAAATTGTAATAAATTTATTTCACTAAGTATATTATGCACTTATGTACATTCATATGTATGGATTTCACAAAAACATAAACATTTCTTAACAAATTTGTGCTTAAATTAACTTATGGTTAATAAGAATATGTTTGAATGAGTGAGTTGTGAGACAAAGAGAGAGCGTTCACAATGTATACATAAGTGGGGCCATGAGATAGAATATTCATCTACAAAAACATAATCAGGCAGCTTCAGCAATTCATTTCCGAGTGAATTTCAACCAAAGTCACTTTGAATTTAAATTGAATATGTTTGAAATTCACTCGAAAGTGAATTGTAGAATCTGCTTGTATAAGACAATATAATCGACAAATTTATAGCACTCGTGGGGTAAAAAATACGGATATTTCTAGTTATGCATTTTATTTTTATTTTTTCTAAATGTAAATACTTAGGCTGTTCATGACCACACATGCGAAAAGAAGTTTAAAGCTGAACCAAACCCGGTTTTATGATGAATTGTAATAGGACTCGATAACTGCACTGCAAAAAATGAAACCACTGGTGGCGCTGATGCCAAATAAAAAGTACGTTCGACATTAAATGCATGTTCTCTTCGCGTTAGAAATTATTTCTTTCAAGAACAATATTAACAAAACTTTTTCGTTGGAAATTTTAGTAACGTAACGCCAAGGAACGTCACGTCACATAATTCAGCTGATTAAACATAAAGCAGAAAAGATTTTTACAAAAAAAAAACTTGGAAAATTAACCTTAAACATTTCCAAAATTACTACAAAAGCTTTTATACAAATAGTCTTGCCCAATTCGCAGAGTTCGAAAACTGAGCGACTACACCATTTCCAGTTGTAAATGCGAAAGCGTCAATTGTAAATGAGAATAATCATTTTTAAATGAGAAAGCGTCAATTGAAAATGAGAATAGTCAATTGTAAATGAGAAAGCGTCAAATGAAAATGCGAAAGCGTCATTTGGAAATCAGATAAGTCAATTGTAAATGAGAAAGCGTCAAATGAAAATGCGAACGCGTAAGTTGTAATTGAGAATAGTCAATTGTAAATGAGAAAGCGTCAATTGTAAATGAGATTAGTCAATTATAAATCAGAAATTGTCAAATGAAAATGCGAAAGCGTCAGTTGTAATTGAGAATAGTCAATTATAAATAAGAAAGCGTCAAATGAAAATGCGAAAGCGTCATTTGGAAATGAGAAATAAAAGTAAATTAATTACGTACTGCATATATAATAGATGATTTAAAGTCGCTTATCACTGATAATACTTAATCAATTATGTCGCTATAAAACGCGTTTGAAAAAGGAATTTTTAAGTTTTCAGAAGGTTATGATCTTCATCTTTGCTGTTTGTAAGCTACGTCATATTAGAGTATGTACATAGATAAGAAGGCAGGAAAATAAAGCTGGTAAATATTCGGATGAAAACGATGTCGGTCGAATTCCGAAAATCCTTCACGAATTACTTATATACATATAAATGTATGTATGTATCTCATCATGACCTTCTTGAATCTGTTTAAACCATTACGGTATGTCTCGGATCAATGTATGTAGCTCGATAGAGAACATTCTTCGGTTTTCTTTTCGCCGAGAAGTCTCAATTGTTTTACACTGGCGGAAGAACTACTTTACGATTAAAAAGTGTATAAATCAAGTATGTTAAAAATATGCATATATATAAATTACTTGGATATTTCATTAATAAAGTGCTGCGTTTAGCGCCATATTCCCCCATGCTAAACCCCATTGAAATAATCTGGGGAAAAATCAAAATGCATGTAAAGGGGCACATCTCAAACCCAGTCATAAATGGGCCAAACGTTGTTGAGCAACGGCTGCAATATTTGGAGAAGTTGGTGGATGACGCGAAAACTACATATAATCACCGGAGGAGACTGCGCGAGAGCATTTCAGCACGCAACTTCTTTCCATGGAAATGCTTTATCTTTACAAGATATGCAAGTTGGGACATAATAAACTTGCATTTTTAATAACATCTAAATAATTTCTGAATAAAAACGAGTTTCTCATTTCCAAATGACGCTTTCGAATTTTCATTTGACGCTTTCTCATTTACAATTTACTATTCTCATTTTCAATTGACGCTTTCTCATTTACAATTGACTATTCTCAATTACAAATGACGCTTTCTCATTTACAATTGACTACTCTCAATTACAAATGACGCTTTCTCATTTACTATTGACCTTTTCTCATTTACAATTGACTATTCTCAATTTCAAATGACGATATCGCATTTACAATTGACTATTCTCATTTCCAAATGACGCTTTCGCAATTTCATTTGACGCTTTCTCATTTACAACTGGAAATGGTGTAGATTGCGTTCAAATAGACAAACAGGCGGAATAACAAAATCAACTCAGCTCGGCTTCTGGTCATTTTTATATTCTTTTTTATGGGTACATCTCCTCTTCTTCTGGTACTTAAAACATCAGACCAATTCTTAATACCATTTCATATTCAGTGGCCAACTCTGGTGAGGACATTCAAATTCAAAGGCCTGCAACTAAATTATCGCAAAAGTCATAGCGTGTAATGTCAGCTGCTAAAGAAGCAAATAAATAAAAATTTGCATACAGAAAGTATAAAAATTTTAGAATTTTTTGCCCAGTCGAATTTTATAAAAATACATCACTACGGTCAGGTCTAAGTTAACGATAGAAATGTCTATCCAGCGGTTCTCAGAAATATATAGATGGTAATACGCGATTTTTTAACAGTAATTTAAACTCTAAATGACATGCATAAAAGAAAACTAATAGTAGAACTTCACATCCAGTTTTTGAAATCTTCAGAACTTTTCAGACTTTCAGCACTTACTAGCGTTTGAAATCTGAAAAATGCTGAAGGCCTGAAACTCGCTTATGGAGTTCTACTCTAAATATATTTCAGGAAATTCCCTTCATTATAAGATTTTAAAGTTTCCCAAAAAAAAATAACAAATTTTAAGAAAATTCCCAAAAAAATGTCATGTTTTACAATAACTTCCAAACTCTTAAAAATTTAATATGTAAATATGTATAATAAAAGAGTCGTTTTCAAAAAAAAATAAAAATTTACTTAGTTATCTACACTCATAGATATGTACTGATCTATAAATACTTATAACAGCATTAGCCAACCATTTTAAGAAAATTCCGTTTAGAGAATTCTCAAAATATCTAAACACAATTGGATTTTTCAAATTGTAATAACCTAATACATTTTTAAATAACCTACAAAAACTTATGTCTAAAGCACTACAAACGACCGCCACGGTCATCAATCGCCATTTTGTTTAGTTTGTGCAGAAATTAATGGAATGGTAACTTGCAAACGATGATCATCGATCGATAACGCTGAGAAAGGATTAAAACAAAAACAAAAAAAAACAGATGTCAATATATGTATAAGTACAGGATACTTTGTTAGTTTTTAGTTGTACATTAGGGTGGTCAAAAATAAGGCAAGTCGGAAAAACATTTTGAATAAACAATTGGGTATTATTATTAACAGTCCTCTGAAGAGAAACAGAGTTTTTCGAGATTGATTTGATTGAATTTCAAGAATTCTATACCAGTTTCATGAAAAATTTTTTATTTCTATATAAAATATAAATTCGTACTTTACTTTTTTTAACGCGCATTTTTGTACCACCCTATTGCACATTCACACGAACTTCGAAATTTGTAGTTAGATTTGACTTTGACGAACTTAAAATTTATTTCTTTGCACTTTACTTACTATTATGCAATATGTATTCTAAATCATCCGGCGATTCTATAGTTGCAAAATCACAATTTGTAGACTCTTTTAGTATAATGCAGATTTCTTTGGAAGCTTTCATGAAAAATAGTGGCACAGAACTATTTGCCAACTCCTTATTCACCGCGCCCATGCCGCGTGCAGCTGTGAAATCGAGTTCTGCGTAGGTGGAAAATTTCGTTTAACATTCTTCTTTTTTTTTTAAGATCAAACACTATGAATATTGCTTACCATGCATATTAGCGCAATCCAGCACCACTGGCGCAATGCCATGCATCGCCACAGCCTTTGAAATGCCAGTGCGTACCCACTCGATTGCTGGAAAGTAGAGTGAGCTGTGTATCGGGCGCATGAGAATATACTCAATACCGTTAGTGGTCTGAAATAGTTAGAATGAAAGTTTACATTTCGCGAATACAGTATTCTTTAAGGCTACGTTACTCGTAATTTGGATACACTAAGTGCTGGACGGGCAGCGCGATACACCAGATATGCCACATCTACGGCAACGCCCAACAGTAAACCGATCTCGACACCAATGGCTAAGCTCACAACGAATGTTATGGCACCGGGCAGCAATTCGCGACGACTGCAGCGCCACAAAGGTTTGATGACCTGTTGGGAAAAGAATAAAACGGCATTAGAGATATTTGGCTTTAACTAAAAAAAAATGCTGCGAAAACCTTAAAAAACTGATAAGTTTTTGAGAACTTTTAAAATTCATGTGAAAAGTATATCCAAGCTTATAGAAACCTCTCTTGGTTTCCGAGAAACGCCCGGTTTCCAAGCAGTCTATTTCATCCCACTCACCTCAAATTCGATCATAAATATCACCGCTGATATGATAACCGCGCTCAATGCAGCTTTCGGAATGTATTGGAAGTAAGGCGCCAGCAAACCAAGCGCCAATAGCACCAACGCACTAGTATAGAAACCACCAATGGGTGTACGCACGCCACTCGCATGATTTACAGCGCTGCGTGAAAAAGACCCCGTCACCGGCATTGAAGAGAAGAACGAACCAATCACATTGGAGAGCGAAAGCGCAATCAATTCGCGTGTAGGACTTATGCCAGCGCTGCTGAAAGCTTTCGATATGGCAACATTACCCAGCACGGCGATTATGGGCAATATAATCATCGAGGGACCAAGTTCTTTGAACTGTGAAGAAAAATATTAAAAATATTTCAATACTTTCAAGCAAACGCTTGTTGTTTTAGTATAGTCACTTACCATATCCACATAGTCCTGTTCAATTGCAGTACCATTTGCTGCCTCTATTATTGTGTGGAATTTGGGCAGCCCGACATCTGGAAAACCGCTCTTCACTTTGCCTGTCAATACGAAGACACAAGACTCGCGTGTTTCACATGTATTATATGCCAAAACGCTGGCTATGAGCACAATCAGCGCATTTCGTCCAGTCGCAATCACCCACAATGTACCGCTTAGTATGCGACGGCCGGGGATTTTAACATCTTTTAGTTTCTGAAAATAAGGACTAAGTGTACGTCCAAATTGTTTTTCAAAGCATTAGCCCTGTACAGGATTTACAGGAAAAGATGTTTTCGCCAATAATAAACCTCATTGGAGTTGGCGACCGCGAACGACTTGCTGTAAAAAACCTGCAAATCGTGACGCACCCACATTTTCCCAGCTTTTTTGAGATGCGGTGGAATCATTGCAAAAATTTCTCCTGAGCTGTGTTGGCTTTGCGAGAAACTGGGGTCTAAAGATCTTGGCACGAACTTCCCCTACAGCCGAGAAGAGGGGCTTTTTGAGCTGCAATCACAACCGCAGTGTTGTGCGAATTATTAAAGTATCACGTTCGGTGTGAATTTCTAGCAACGTGTTGTCATTTGGGCAGTTGCAACAGTGTTGCAAATTTTCATCAGGGCGGCAGTAATGCCGCTTTTATTACGTGCCTCGAAGAGGCCCGAGCTATTGGACGGATGGGAAACTAAGTGCTCGGCACCCATATTGGTACCACTAAATACCAGGCAACATTATTCAGACCTAACTTAGACGGAATCAGATATACATATATATTTTTCCTCACTAATAAAAGTTGTGTGCCTTCATGCTGATATATGTATTTACGTACAACTGGAGGAAGCTAGAGTTTGTCCCGTTCAAAAATTTTTCTTCATGAGGAACTATTTTTAAAAGGGTCATAGTCGAGAAAGTCATCTACGAGTATCATTTTGATATTTCATATCCCAATCATGGAGTCTATCTTGTCATACCTATGATTTTACGGCGTCTCCGAACGAAAAGTAGTTTGTTTTGAAAGTTTTT